ATTATTATTATTATTATTGTATTATTTTTATTATTGTATTATTTTTTTTATATTATTATTATTATTATTATTATTATTATTGTATTATTTTTATTATTGTATTATTATTATTATTATTATTATATTGTTATTATTATTATTATTATTATTATTATTATTATTATATTGTTATTTTTATTATTATTGTTATTTTTATTAATAGTAATATTATTATTATTATATTGTTATTATTATTATTATTGTTATTTTTATTAATAGTAATATTATTATTAGGTTCCAATTCCTCAGGATCTTTTTCAGGTGATGTTGTTGCTTTATCGTTGATGTCCGACTCAATGACAATCCGTGTGTCGGATAAATTAGGCCAAACATATTTTCTTTGGTGGAAAAAAATTTGATTTCTTTCTATTTTCTCATTATTATCTTCCAGAGTTGCTTGCAATTTTGTGATATGTTTGTTTTACCCTCTTGTAATATCACCAACTGTAATAATTGGTTTTGTGAAGAACTTGAAAATCTTTCAGACGAAAGAAGTGTCTTATATTTATCTAATTTGGTGGCTATATTTATTAATAAGGTCAGAGTCGAACTGCAATGGCGACTGTATGCTGAGTCTCGAGTGGGGATACTCTAACTCTAAGTCAACTGTTTTCTCTTTTGCTCTCTTGTCGACCATGACTCATTTTTATAATGCTCAACCCCTGTGTGAGGCAGTCGGCTTTAGCTTTCTTTGTCGTTGAAGAGTGTTAACCTTTTTTTTTTTGTAGGGGGGGAGATGTGTTTTTTTTCCACTCACACTCATAGGAACTTACTGGCACCATACACTGTACTGTATTGTTGAAAATGCTAGTATTAAATTGTTGCTTTCTAAACCTTGCCTTTTTATGTGTTAAATTACACATTTGTCATTATTTTTACACGTATTAAATTACTGCTTTTTAAATCTTTAGTTTAGTTGGTGGTTGGCAGGTGCTCTGGTGTGGTTTGCTCCTTCTTTCCTATCAAACATCTATCCACTTTATCTCCCCTCCTTCTTTGTTTGTGTTTGTTACTCTCTTGTAACACCTCTAATCTTCTACACTTATATGACCTTATTGTGTTGCAAGTGCCGTAAAACTCTTACCCAAAAAATCTTGAGTTTTTTCTGTTATTATAATTTGTTTTTCTTTTTACTTGCAAGTATTTGATAAAGGCAGTGGGATACAGTGTGAGAGTTGCTGAGAATCGAGAAAAGGTTTTCTTATGAAGAAAACATAATTTGTTTACGAGCTGCTGTATCTCTGTATCTGCTTTTGGCTTACTTTGATGCATGCAGCCTTCAGCTTAGAGGACTTACAGTGTTTTACTATCGTATCCATACGACGTGGAGAACTCAGTGCCACCACTTAACTCTATCCGTACGCCGTGTTTTACTATCATATCCATACGACGTAGGGAACTCTGTGCCACCACTGAACCGTATCCGTACGTCATGTTTTACCATCATATCCATACGACGTGGGGAACTCTAGGCCACCCACCACTTTCCAAAGAGGAAATTTACTCGTTCATCCTATCCCTACGCTTTGCATAGCAGTCTGTCAAAATGACTTTTTGAGAAATACTGAAAGTTTCAAAGAGATCTTCGTACGAGAAGTATTCTAAAATATGAAGAATATGACCCAGGGGGTATAAAATAACCCCATGGCGTACGGATAGGGTTAAATACTGTCTTGGTTTGCTTGCAGGTTGGGCCAAGATAGGCAGGCTCAAAGTCAACCTCCAGATAGATCTTAATTGTGTCGTTGGGGCATTAAAAAATCCATTTTTTAAAAAGCCATCATTAAAATTAAGAGTATTTCTATTTCTTTTATTCAGTAGGTGATTTTCAATCAATGGGATGTTTTCATTTTGCAATAGCAATCCTTCGTGGTGAAAACAAACGCTTAAATGTTTACCACATTTGATTTTACCAAATTAGCCCGGTAGGCTTAAAGATGAAGGGAGAACAATTTGGATAAGCGCCCTTTATCAAAACTGCAAAACTACTACATGTTTCCCTGCAGTGAAGGAAACAGGCGTTTACATTTTGCTCTTGTATCCCATAAAGATGAGCGGCTTAAAGTCTGGGTTTGTGAGAGCCTCTCTATCCCAAGAGAAGCCAGAGATGTCGTACTGCGTCCCTCCGTCCACCGCCATCTCGCTGAGAATCTTGCCTAGCAGGCTGGCGAACCTGGACAGAAAAAAAAGGGAAAATGGTGAAATGGTATAGGTTTAACGCCCCTATCAACACTATTAGGCTATTTGAAATTATGCAAACTGAGCCCAAAAATGTGAAAGTATACGATTCTGTTAATTTTAACAAAGAATTATAAAGGAAAATAATTAGAAATTATGCACCCAAAAAAAAAAAAGATCAAATTTTGCAAAAATTAATATGCGGGGTGCATAAAACCCCGGGGACTCACTTGTAGGCGTGCCCAGCACCGCAGCAGACGACAACATCGGGAAATCCTGCGCGAGCCGCTGTGTCAACGAGGAAGTCCCGGTCTGGAGTCATTGTGTACAGGCAAGTCTTTGTCTGCATCACCGGACCCAGGAACTGGGGACACCAACAGATAATTGTGACTAAAAGAAAAAAAAAAAAAAAGAGACAGACAGACAGAGAGAGACAGCGAGAGAGAGAGAGAGAAAGAAAGAGAGAAGAAAATAAGATCATGTGAGATAAGGTCGATTTTATTGATCTCCACGAAGAGGAATGAGAGAAATACAACATCGTCAAGGCAGACTTGAGATACGCAAAAAATGTCTCCTCATTCGGGAAGTTGAACTCTTACTCTGGTCTCCTCCTGCGTGCTACAGTGAAGAGACTAAGCGCTACACCACAGCCCACACAACAGACGCCAGAGAGTGTGACTTAATGTTATCTTTCGATTTGAAAAGGTGCTCATATAAAGTACAATAATCACTTCCAATTGGAGGCCTTATACAGTGGAAATCAGTTTAAACGAACTCAGATTCAACGAACTTGGATTCAACGAAAACTCAGATTTAAAGAGAGGAGTTGGATTCCCTGTTGTTGTTTTTTCTATTCATAAAAATCAATCAATAAAACTAACTCGGATACAACAAACACATAAATGACGAAGCTTGACGTCACTACCAAACGGAGAGTAATAATATAATAGTTTTGTTATAATAACACTTTCAGTAACTATATACCTTCGGACATATTTTCCTCAAAACATCCTGCACTATCTGCAACTTGTGTGGGTCCGGAGTCTAGGTTCGTTTGTCCCCCGAGAGAGAGAGAGAGAGAGAGAAAGAAAGAGAGAGAGACACACACACAGAGACACACAGAGACACAGAGAGAGAGTGTGTGTGTGTGTGTGTGCGTGCGTGTGTGTGAGGGAAAACTACCATTACCTTCGGACACATTTTCTTCAAAACATCCTGCACGATCTGCAATTTGTGTGGGTCCGGTGTCCAGGTCCGTTTGTCCCCCGAGAGAGAGAGAGAGAGAGAGAGAGAGAAAGAAAGAGAGAGAGACACACACACAGAGACACACAGAGACACAGAGAGAGAGTGTGTGTGTGTGTGTGTGCGTGCGTGTGTGTGAGGGAAAACTACCATTACCTTCGGACACATTTTCTTCAAAACATCCTGCACGATCTGCAACTTGTGTGGGTCCGGTGTCCAGGTCCGTTTGTCCCCCGAGACAAGATATCCGCGAGCGTCAATTCCTATCTTGGTGCCGCTGATGGCGTGCACAGGGAGGGCGTAGATGTCTCGCTCTGGGCTGCTGTACATGAAGATGGGGAACCTGGGGATTATATGAATAAATAAATAAATGAAGGAATAAATAAATAAATAAATGTGAGGTGTGCTGACAAAATGAGTAACTTCTTGCAATCTCTACAAAAGGGGATATTGGCCAAAAATCAACACTAGGGTCAAATGTATAGATTTTCTATTGATTCTATCCTTTATGTACAACATGCCTTTCATTATTTCATACTTATAAATTGTAACACCTTCACCTACAAACGTGGTGTATCCATTTGCATAGGGCTCGAATCCGAGAAGTAACTCATTTTGTCAGCACGCTTCACAAATATAAATGTATCAATAACAAAAATCAATAAATATAAACGAATAAATAAATTAATTAATAAAAATACATATAAATAGATAAAAATAAAACCAAATAAATAAATTAATGAATAAGTAAATAAACAAACAGACAAACATGCAGACTATACATTGTAATTAGATAAATAAAAAGACAGACCGGCAGACTGACAAACAAACAAACAAACAGACGGACAGTCGGACGGACAGACAGACAGACAGGTAAAGTCAGCACACACACACACATAGAGTAGACATGCCATCACTGCTGCTCTCACTTGTCTTTGGTGAATTCCTTCACGTGCGGTGAGCCAAAGTAGGTCACGTTCTCCTCGGTGACGTAGACAGGCACGTGACATCCGATAGAGCTGATCACGTGATTGATCCAGGCGCCGGCGGCCACGATAACCCTTTTGCACGTGAAGTTTCCCGCAGGAGTGGAGACCTAGATACATGTGGTAACAAAAGAGTACCGCTTATAATAAGGCAGCGGTAGGCAATCGAAGTTTGAAAAATTTTAACTAGATCTAGTGGCTGGCGGGGCAAAACCGGGATTGATTGTTTTTGGGGAGCATCCGACCAAAAAAGTGAATGGCGAACCATGATCGATGACGTCTGATTCAGGCTTTTGTTTTTTAGTAAGTTTTACAGCACTTTCAGCACAATAAGGTCAGATAAGCGCCGAAGATTAGAGGTCTTTCAAGTCAAGAGAGTGACAAAAATACAAGAACAAAAAAAAAAGAAAGAGGGGAGATAAGACGATAGAAGATATTTGATGGGGAAGAAGGAGCAAACCACACTACAGCACCCCACCCACCTTTCAAGTTTGGATCGTGGGTAGTTGGTGGGCGATCTTGTGTGTTTTTTCCCTTCTTTCCTATAAAAAATTCAAACATTTCTTGTCCTTATCTCTCCTCGTATGTGGCTGGAGGGTGCTCTCTTGTAGTTTTCTCATTTATATTTTAAAAAACTTTCACCTTGAAGTCTCCTTCCTTTTTTGTGTTTGTTACTCTCTCGTAACACCTATAATCTTTGGCACTTATATGACCTATTTGTATTATAAGTACCGTAAAATCCTTACTAACATTAACCAAAAAGATCGACAGACACCGAAAATATTTCGTTATTTGCGAATTTTGCGACATGTATGTACTTGTTTTGAATTTAAATGAAAAGAATATATTATTGTCATACATGTACATGAATAAGAGTACATGTAGTTACTTTATTCCTGACAAAGAAAAAGCCATCTTTATTTATACCCACAGAAACACACATGCGCACAAGAACAAAATACACCCCCTCTGACTGAAGTTATCAAAAGGCCATTCCCATAGGGGGGAATATTAACATGTTCTTATGCACAGTAGAATTGTAAATGGGCTGATTTATCAATGCCAAGCTCAAACTGTGCCGAAACAACATAGGGGGGACTGCTGCTTTTCTTTTTCTTTCCTTATCCTTACTATCGTCATTTTCCTCTACTTCTTTTGTATGTTTGTTACTCTCTTGTGAACTGTTTTTTTACGGGGCACCTTGATAATCGAAGCAGACTTTGTGCTGTTGAGGCTAGAGAGGTGAGTAGAGTGAGACTGATTCCACGTTTGGACTTCTCTGTTGACATCCAGCCCTATGCAGTTGCGAGCGCCGTAAAACCTTACTAAAACTAAACAATAACAAAATAACACTATGGTACCTCTAGCTGTCCGTTCTGGGCCCTGGCGATCCTGTTGACTGGGCAGTTGTCCAGTACCTTGGCGCCCCTGCCCTGGGCCAGCTGTATGTGCAAGGAGTTGCCCATTGCTGCGTCCACTATACCGCCGTCCTTTTGGTATAGGGCTTCCATGTCTGGGCCTACTGTGAACTGTAGATTTGGGGAGGGGGTGAGGGGTGGGGGGGAGGGAGAGGGTGAGGTGACGAGAAGAGAAGAGAGGGCAGAGAGGGGATGGGGGCGAAGAGTGAGGGGAAGAGAGAGAGAGAGAGAGAGAGAGAGAGAGAGAGAGAGAGAGAGAGAGATGATGAGGGGAGATAAGGGGGGAGAGAGTGGGACGGGAGACGCTTGGCACTCACAGAAAAATATACATTACATCCATTACAGAAAGTGGAACAACCGACCCTAAAATAGACATAAAACACCAGTTCCACCAGCTGAGACGAAAATGAGGTTCTAGAATAGATTATTTGTTTTTCACTATAACTTGGCAATGACAGAAACATATACATTACATCCATTACTGAAAATGTAACGACCGACCAAATATTTTGACATAATTTATTTTAATTATTAAAAAAGGGAATTTTTCCTGCTGCTGAGATTAAAAGTACGATCTAAAATAAAGGTATTTGTTGTTTACTGCAGCTTGGCAACGACCAAAAAGTATTGAAAACGTCTATTACTGAAAGTGTAACGACCGACCCTAAAATAGACATAAGTGACTTGTATATAAAAAAAAAGTTTTTTCCACCAGCTGAGACGAACATTTTGTTCTAAAATAAAGTTATTTGTTGTTAACTAAAGCTTGGCACAAACTAAAAAAATATACATTACATCAGTTACTGAAAGTGTAACAACCGACCCAAAAAAATGACAAAAGTGATTTGGAATTGAAAACAAACTTTTTACAACTGTAAAGACGAAAAATAAGTTCTAGAATAAAGTTATTTGTTGTTTAATACAGATTGACACTGACAAAAAGGATACATAACATCCATTACTGAAAGTGTAACGACCGACACAAAATAGACATAAGTGATTTTTTTTTTTAAGACATGTCCGCCAGTTGAGACGAAAATTAAGTTCTACAATAAAGCTATTTGTTATTTACTACAGCTTGGAACTGACAAAAAATATATATTATATCCATTACTGAAAGAGTAACGACGAATTCAGAAAATGATATAGGTGATTTGGAATGCAAAAACTATTTTCTACAGCTGCAAATAAGAAAATTAAGTTAAGCAAATAAAGAATTGGATACATGTATTCACTCGCTCCGTTTAATTTATCAAATCGACCAACCTGTGGGCATCGGGTCATCAGCTGTTGGTTGTCCCATCTCTCAAAAGATATTTCGTTTCTCTCCC